ATGGTTCAGACATATCAACCTCAAGGGACTTGAGTTTAGCAGCAATGTCTCTGATCTCCATAATGTGCTCACGCATTATACGACTTATGTAGAAAGTCATACTTGAGAGCCTCTTCATAAGGGTGCTGACCAATGCCTTGTCAGAGCTTACAGATTGTTCATCAATTGCCTTCATGCAAGCTTTGACCTTATCGCTATTAGGGATAGAACCCCTAATGCTTTGGCTTATGTGAGCTTTTATGAGCATTAAACTTAAGCGATTAGATCGCTCCCACCGCTCATAATTAGTCTTAGCAGTTGGCACTTGATTCCGTGGGAATAGGTGGTTCATCCACATGGAGTGCCAGGTCTAGATCCAAGCACCCTAAAGTGAGAAGGACTTTATCCTTCCATTCAGTATAATTGTCACCAGAAAGCATTGGAATTCGAGCATTCTCATTAAAAATAGCGGTAGGAAAAGCTGTAAATACTGCAAAACAAGGATAAACATACATAAGCTATGAAGTACAATCCATCAAAGGTGAATCACGTAAAATACCGATTCATAGTAAATTCTAAACCTTCCTGTGGGCAGAGGTTGCAACCCATGCATAGAATTTACTAACTTTATTAGACTAGTAAACAAAAACACATAGAAATTAATCTGTACCTGTGGGCATAAGATAATTTTCAACTTAAAGGTTTACTATCTCATTCCAATTAACCTCACCAAAATAGTTACCTCCCTGTAGGGTCGGGTTACTATTCTAATGAGATAACTGGACTAAATAGATGTCATTAAAAATTTTAATCACTAGACTTATGTGATTAAACAACTTAATTTCTTTTATATCAAGTACTCAAGATGCCATGGCTACTCCTAAGTACATCACATAAAAGAAAACTCAAATTACATCTCAAAATAATTAATCTTAGTAATCAACTTAAGCAAATGTTGACCGGCTTCAAAATGGGTACAATAGATATAAGCGCAAGGTTATTACCCCAAAAGTTAATTCTCATAATTAAAATATAAAAGCACTTAAAATACTAGCAAAGTTGTAAAATATATTTTAATTTAAAAGAATTTAACTACCCTTTTCTCATAATTTGAAGACAAAAACCAAGCAAATTTGGCAAAAATATGAGAAGGGAACATTCAAAGTATTAATTTCAGAATTACGGGCTTCATTAAATAATGTACACAAAATATGATAACCAAAGCAACTTAATTTATGCGCCCGAAAAACACTTGTGATTTAGAGAAAGTTAATCAGGACTACATGAATCTTTAACATTGTTTAAATAACCAACACCTCTTCACAATTTAGATTCATAAACACATTCCAGAGAAAATTGCCTTTGAATAATAAACATAACATAGATCCAAACGAAAGGAAATAAGGCAACATCAGTTAAAAGACAACAGTAGTTACTTCCAATATTCATAAACAACTCTTTCTGTTCATATTATATTAATTAATATCTAATTGTCATACAAATGCACAAATTTCATATATAAGGCAGTTAACGACAATATAGTCGGAACCAAAACTAAAGATTAATCTATCGATAAAAGTTTGGTTCCATGTTATGAATTAATTGTTGCAGAAACCTGACAGTATAGGATGGTACTTATATTTTAACCACCATCAACAAAAGTAGATACTGAACACACAGCTAAAGGTAGGCTCTGATACCACATGTTAAATTCAAATACAAATACAGAGCCAACACAGCGGAATATTTAATAGGAACGTACATTCAGCCATTATTGTTCAAGTGTTGTAGAGAATCACCTTTGGGAAACTTTGGCAAAAACCTAGGAGCCTTCTAGCCTTTGCCTATCGTAGGATGCCAGACTGATGGAGTCACAGACGTATTTATAGGTAGGCTAGGGACTCTTAGGCAAATACTTTAGCCCTAGGGACTTCTCCATAAATTATAATTACCCTAGGGACTCCAAATATATAGTAATTTCTTTCCATCAAAGAAACTACCATATATGCATAATTCCATAATATTATCTGATATATTATTTCCCTTGGGAGATAAGCTAAATAATTTATTACCTTATATGTGGGTCACTCTAGAAGTCTCTAGAAGAGACGGTAATTTCTAACACTAGAATTATGCAAATCGTAGATAAATGTCTCTCTCTCTTTCTCTCTCATAATGAAATTAATAGGTACATTTTTGGTTGGATAAAATTATAAATACAAATACAGTTTAATTTTTATAGAAAACAAAATTGCCATATGACAAAAAATGAAAAAGAAGAAGAGAATAAGTTGAAACTCCTTCAATAATTATATCTCTAACAAAGAGCGATTGTCATGGGTTTAAAAAGGGAAAAGAAATTAGTTAATATTCCTATTAAAGAAAGTCAAAATTGTTGTAGGTTCAAAAGGAAAAAAAGAATAAGAGAACAAGAAGAAAACTTAAATGCATATATTTATAAAATATCTTTATAGAAAACAACTTCTTAAATTAGGATTTTAAAAGCGTTATCGGCTGAAATTACGAAGGAAGAATGATAAATTTTGAATTTTAAGTGATCAACTTATAAATTAGAACAACTTTTTAATTAACGAATTATTGAGAACTTCTATGGAGGAGTTTCTTTTTTTATTGAGTTAAGTACATAGGGTCAATATTTATTCATTTTTAGGAATATAAACTTTTATTTTATAGCTTAAAAACAATATTTTAATATAATATCTATACAACTTTGTAAAATTCTTTTATCCATTGAGATAATGTACATGCCAAAAATAGCACGGGCTAGCCATAAATTGAGATATTGTTGCAATAAATTATACACTAATGAATTTAAATATTATATACCAAAAAGGTATATAGCATGTTATTTTGGTATATAATACAAATTAGTCTTCTTCGCTAGTTCACCTCAATTTCAACCTAAATTTAACAAAACTAAATTATCTTCGTAATCAACTACAGTACGTAAAACTAGACTATCACATAAGATATGAACTTGCAAGAAAAGAAACTAATTGCAACTCTTAAATAATTTGAATGCTGAATAAACATTTAAATATTTTAGAATCCTAATGTACTAATAATAACTAAAAATTCTAGTAAATAATTGATCTTCTCTTCATACTTTGAGGTCTGGATATATCTGGATGTCTACTAGCTAGCATCATCTTCCTCGGCAGAGGCAATGCCAAATAAAAGTGAGGCCAATTCTCACGCCAAGTGCAACTGCAGAGATTTTGACGAATATACCTAACATATGTGGTAAACAATTTTGTGATTTGATTGCAAGAAAACACATGAAACTGATTACAAATATTTCTACTAGCGCAAAGAAGATGAGGCTAAGGCATGCTGGAAAACCAAGACAAACTATTGCTTCCTCAGAACACATGCTGGAAGATTAGGTATTGCTTATAGCGCCTTCTAAAAGTTCATAGTGAAATTTGATCTCATTTGGAGCTGATATGAGGTGATTGAGATCGAATTTTTCGGCTAAAAATTGAAGAAAAATACAGTTATCCAATAGTATACCGCTACAATATACAAATATACTATAAGATTATATAGCTATACTGCAACGGTATACTATAATAATAAAAGAACACAGTTACCTAATAGTATACTGCTATGGTATACAATATACTGTAGGAGTATATAATTATACTGCAACAATATACTGTTATGGTATACAATATACTATAATGGTGTATTACGATAATATGCAATATACTGCAACAGTATGTTGTAATAGTATACAATATACCATAATAGTATACTTTGACTGTTATTTGTTGAATCATCTAGGTGCTTGTGTAGAGCTAAAGTCATGGTTATAGTAACATTATGTTGTTGTAGTATATAATATAATAAAACAATATACCGTAAGAAAGAAGTCATTTCTTAATTTTTTCAACTAGGTCCTTGTAAATGTTTTCTTAAATGAAATTTTTGATAGATTTCCATAAAAATAATATTAATTGTATAAGAAGTAGATGTCAGAAGACATAAAATAGTAATATACCTATTTGGTGTATTTATATGCAGTTTTGGTATACTATTAAAACAAGTATTTTATAATAACATTAAATACTAATATGCCATTTTATTATACTGATATACTATCTTATTATAATGATATATAATTTTAGATCCTATGTGCTAGAAATATTTACAGTAATACATATAATTTAAAAAAGAAAAACATGAAAGATAATAAGAAAAAGATAAATAAGATATACTATATAGCTTATTTTTTTGATAATTGATTTGGAGAAAAAGAAAAATATGAAACAAATAAGTGAAAAAAAATACTTTATCCGTTTTTTAAAATTATATAACAAAAGGAAAAAATAAATAAAGGAAAGGAACAAATGAGTGCTGGATCATCGATAAGCATTCTATGGTCCATGGAATAGGTAGACCGGGTAAATACTTTGGTTTGGCTAGAAGCAGGTAAATTATTTGTGTTGGATAGGTATTTGTGAACTTATCCCTTGAAACTATACAATTGTAGAGAAAGAATGATAGGTAAGTCGCGTAATTAATATGGGTGGGATAGGTAGATAGTGTAACCATTTTCAAAATGGGTTAAAGTGGGTAAGTATTTTGATTTTTGTAGGTATATAGTATAATTTCTTCCAATTTAAACCCATCGAAATGTGGCCTGACACGTCCATTTGATACCCCTAATCCATATGGACCATTAAGGGCTATTTCAAATCTTATCCCTTTCCATGCATCATTAACATCAAAGAATTTACTGGAGAAGAGCATTTGAGCCACCCGAAGCCATAACCCATGGATGATGGATCTTAACCAGGATCTTTTCTTTCTCTATTTTTGGGTTAACAGTAACATTGTAAAATAACCCATTGTTCAATTGTTATAATGTACTGATTTGAAGCAAACGGGGCTTGTGAGAATTAGACATGAATGGATGCAGTAACTACTCTCGCAACCCATTCATTCGTGACACGGCAGAAACCCACAGAGCATATAAGTTAAACAAAATTAAAAGGTAAAGCAAAATTATGTTTCCTTTCATGTGTACTTGGAAACACCAATAAAACCTGTCAAAGCAATCCAACCAGAGTAATATGGGAGTTCTAGTGAAATGTACGTCCCATATAAAGAAATATACGAATACAAAAACCAAGCCCACAGGACGACTAACTTGAAGTGTTTGATCATAAAAAGCGCACATGTTTTTCCTGCAGAATATATTTCTATATCCGTCATGGAGATCTACAAGCAACACAGTAGTTATTCTCAATCGAAAAACTTCAAGGGAGATTTGATTTCTTCATGGAATTGTACGCTGATAGAGAGGCAAAGCTCATCTACAAGCAACACAGTAGTTATTCTCAATCGAAAAAGCTTCAAGGGAGATTTGATTTCTTCATGGAATTGTACGCTGATAGAGAGGCAAAGCTCATCTACAAGCAACACAGTAGTTATTCTCAATCGAAAAAGCTTCAAGGGAGATTTGATTTCTTCATGGAATTGTACGCTGATAGAGAGGCAAAGCTCCCAGAGCCTCACGTTCTGCTCTCTCCCTTTTAACCTGTAAAACATACAAACCAAACGCATTAACGGCCACCTACTTAAGCTCTAAGAAGTAAGAAGATAAGTCGGCCAATCAACATGTACTCAATAGAAGTTATACAACAGCCCTAAACCCATCATTACACCATACGGCTGTTCTGAATCTACAATGATAAAGTAGTAAATGGATGTTTGACATGCCAAGATATTACCTGCTTAAATGTCGAATCAGAGATAAAGCACATTCTTTAGAAACCTAATGATAATCTTGCCATCCACCCGTTTGTCAAAAAGGTCGGATACATGTGGCAATACCAACTCATTTAGGTTAAAATCCAAGAAGCAAATGGTTAAAAACCATTCCAAGTGGTACACTAGTACCCTTTGCAGGTTACTGGAAATGAAACGACATAAGGCAGAGAAAAAGATGCAATATGGCATCACTATAAAGAAAGCAAGGCCACTTTTGCTCAAGGCATACAGATTCAAAGAAAAATTACCCAAGGCACATACATAGACCAGCAAGGTTACCGTTGGAAGCAGAATTCAAGAACAAGTAGGGTTTAAACTCCATTAAGAGCTCATTGACCATCTGATGCCTTGAGTAGGCATGAGCAGGGCAGTAACGTACTATTAATGAAATTGGAAACATAACTAAAACTAGAGATAGAAAATGGAAACTTACAAGAGCTAGCATTTCCTGAAGATAGCTCCTAAATGGCGTTTGCATTGCCTGCACAAATTGGTAAAACCTTTTATTAATACCCAACAAGTAAATACCTACATCAGCATCAAGCTCAGTCGACATTAGAACAGGGAATAATCTTAATTTTCCAACCCCTTTTTTCTGAAGTAAAAGCATACTTAAAAACCAACCCTTTGCGAATGGATGATTATAACAACCGCTCCCTGCATTCCAATTCAAACAACCGGGAAAAAACACTACTCCCCATCGCTTTACTTTCTTTTGAGACCCCTGTGCAAAGATGTGACCTTTCAATCCTTTCTTTCCCGAAAGGATATTTAAGTAAAATGAGTTCTCACAAAGAGAACAGATAATATCCAAGTGAACCAATCTGAAGGTAAGAGGAACAAAATTAAAAATCAAGATCGAGGACTTTAGATTTTTCAAGACTATCATACTTTCACAATGTACAGTGCATAGATGATCCTTGACATTAATATCAAGCTCTTCATTCCATCACTGGGAACTATGTATTTTGCACGCCAATCATCCCAGTTTTACAGTTTTAAGACAAAATGTTGCTTAATGGCATGAATAATCCACTCTACTCAGATTTCCTTAGCCTGGCGGGGCAGCCACAAAAACCAGCAAGGGGGAAAGGACAAGAACAGAGAGCCCATCCACGAAGTACATATCAGATTAAAACTCAAACAAAAAAACATAATCCAACAGCGGATCGGAGTAAAAAATAATAAACAAGGATACATCGAGAAACCTTTTTCATTAGACAAGCTAGGAGTATTATATGAGACAAGACAGGGAATAATCTTATTTTAATTGTTCGATTTAATCTTTTCAGTTGGTGTGTGTTTTTTTTTTGGGGGGGAACTTCTGGGAGGATTTCTCCACCTTTGCTTCCTCCAGCTATGGGTTCAATGAAAAAAGATTGACTCATTCCTTCTCACTACCCTCTTCAACCAATCAAAAATTGACATGGAATAGAAGATCTATAGATAATTCTCCCCTAATCAAAATTGGGTAAAGAAAATTAGGATGCTTAGAAGAACCATTCAACCACACATAAAAGAGCTATCAAGGTTTCACCATATGATTCACAAAAGACCCTACATCAATAACTGATATTATCTTATTAGTTTGAAAAAGGTCTTCATTCTTCCTTCCGCTTGCTTCAGTCAACTCCTAGCCCATCATTCACTAATACCGCTTTCACAACGACAAGAACAAACTAAAAATGAAAGAAGACAGCAAATAAGTAGGAGGGGGTGAGGGTGGAGTACGAAGCACACAAAGAGTTCTTCTATTGGTCTATTTTGTCACCACATGCACCAATACTACAGAAGAGGAAATTGTCGACAATTCTATTTGTCTTAGTGCGGCATACAATAGGATACTATGCAAGTACCTGGAGATCTTCTGGGAGGTATTGGTGCTTCATTGAGAGGTCCATTGCACGCTTAAGGCGCTGGATTCTGGCATCAACAATCTCCCTTGGAAGGCGATTAAGAGCCTCCTTCACGTCCAAATCGTACATTGGATCATGCAGGTCATCATATCTAAGCCCTTGTTTCACAAAAACCCATAACCATATAAAATGTTAACAAGCAGTAACTCTAATCAGAATAATTGAAATAGTGAAATAACAAAATGCTGTTTCCTTCTGTTTTATTTTCATGATTTTATTTCTTTATCAGGCCACAAATTTAAGTTGCTCAACTAAGTGGCAATTCTATGGAATCAATATGACATTGTAAAATGATTTTTCTAGCAGAAGAAATTAAAAAAAACACTCCCCTGACTCGTTGATTGGAAACAAGAGGATTTAAACAGCTTAGGTTGGAGAAAAGCGGTTTTTCTATTTTTCTTATAACAGACAAACCAAATAAGTAAAGGGAAATATGCAACAAACTTTAATAACCATCAGTACAAATGGATTAATACCAATTACCCAGATGGTATTATGTGCATTAAGAATTTAATTCTGACAAATGCTAAGAATATATTTACTACATTACACCGCTGGGTAAGCACACAAGTTTAGGAATACCCATCCTCTTATGGACAAAAACCATATCCCCATGGAATTTGAACCTGAGATCTCTTGCACTCAATACCTCAACTTTGACCACTGGGTCAAGGCATCATTGGCTAAGCAAAGGAAATCAAAAAAAAAAACTTGAAATAATGATCTACAGATGTGATTTGGGAATTAAAGACAAAGTTATGAAGATTTATATGCAGGAAAACATAAATGGGTAAATATCAATAGCCCAAATGCTCGAATATGCATTTACACAGAAAAGAAATAACATAAGTATATGAAATCAACAACCAATACTGAACCTAAGAAAATCAAATCAGAAGAATTTCAAATGGCAATAAACATATATAATAAGGGAAAATGGAAGGAAAGTACACCAATATTTCTATATGGAGAAGTATAAACCCATCAATAAAAATGACCCTTAGGCTAGAATATCTCAATTATAACATTAATAAGCAATTCAAAGCAGAAGACAGACCCTTAAAGAGGAAAAAACAGCTCCACAACACCTTGACAATTTCACCGGGTACCTACTATCTAACTTTGCCCATTAAGGTTTAGGCAGATGGAAAGAAATCAAGCATTTTTTTTTCGTCTCTGCTAGGAGTTGAACCCTGGTCTCCCATCCTTGGGTGCTCAACTCTAGAACAGTTTTCAACTTCTAAAAGAATATATACACACACAAACAAACATTTATGACGGGGAAAACCAAAGACAGATTCATCTTTTTAGAATTGGAATCTTTTACATGATTTAACCATTATCATTTTCTGCTAAATTAGCTTAAATTAGAAATCACTGTTTGGTTATGTTTAGCGTATCTTTTTAGCAAATATTAGCTACTATTTTGACGAAACTGATCCAATTATCATCGAACATATAATAATCGCATTAATTTGAACCAAACAAACCTTTAAATAACAATCAATATGCTAGAACATGTATCAAATGCAGATCTGAAGATAGAAATGGGTATAAAAGTAGACAATTTTTGTACCGTAATTACGGAGGCGAGCGGAGAGGGATTTCTTGTGGATTGCAGCGAGAGGGTTCTTCTTTGGATCCACCAGCCATTTCGAGAACGTCGATGCCATTGTTCGATCGCAATGTGTCTCTGCTAACAAAAGATTAGGGATTTTCCTTTTTGTCTCTAGAAGGGTCTATGACTATGGTCTTTGGTCTGTATTTACTCCCGGCCTCCGGAGTCTTTTGACACTTTTGCCCAGGGCAAAACAATAATATTACAACAAAACAGACCAGAATCTCTCGAATACATTGGGCCAAAAAGGCCCATAACTCTTGAACGAAGAACATGCTTGGCCCAACATTTAAAAACTATTAAGTGTAGTAAATAGGGAAATTTTCATAAAGCACTACCTTTTAGTAGTAATTAATCATCTGTAGATACTATTTGCTATATTACGGATTATAGATATCTTTTATGTGGTTATAAGATATATTTGATGTATTTAAGCAATTATATTAATGAATACAGTAGCAAAAATAAGCGTGAGTCAAGGAAGTCCAGCTAATCAGTTGTTGTATTCGAGTGTATTCGACTGCATTCATGGAGTGAAACATAGGATTACAGCTGGATAGATTATTGTATTCGACTGTATACCCGATGTGAAATAGGGAATTACACTGTTTTTAAAAAGGAAAGTGAATCAATTAACATAATAGACTCCTAATATAACTCAACAAACTCAATTATAACACACAAAATTTGTATTTTCCGTTATAAAAAAGATTCTCAACCGAAAAATACCCCAAAAATATAGCAATCTTCAAAGAAATTATATAATACATCTGAATACATAAATTATATTAATTAAAAAAACTTATGAATACATTTATGGCATATAGCGAGGCAATGAATACAATGAAATACATAGAATACAGCGGGATACATTGAAATACAATGAGAAAAAAAGACAATGAATACAATGAAATACATGAAATTCAACGAGATACATTGAATTACAACGAAAAATAAATAATGAATACAATGAAATACATGAAAATACATTGACATATATTAACAGAAAATCATCCTACAACATCCATATCTCAATTTTTTCAATTGGCAGGGACGGTATTCACGAGGCTAGTGGAGCCAGCTTATACAGCAGTGAGGAACGAGTTTAGGAGGAGAATGGGAAGGAAAACGACAGTGACAAGCCTTGGCGGATTCGACACTTGCTACACAGTCCCCATTACAATTCCAACAATAACGTTGATGTTTGCGGGCATGGAAATACGCTGCCGCAAGACAACTTCTTGATCCGTAGCAGTTCAAGCAGTACCACTTGCCTCGTTATGGTTACTTCCCCTGCTGACCCAGTCAATTCTGTCCTCAACGTCATCGCAAGTGCAACTATACTCTAACAATTCTCCTACTACAATGGAGGATATCGACGGAGGAGAAATGGCAAGCGAACTAGACAGAGAAGAGGAAGAAGCAACCACCGACTTACTCCGCGATCGATTCCGATGATGCACTATTTCCATTGTTGAAGCTGAGGGTATTTTATTTAATCAAAACACATACATTAATTTTTGAAGTGGGCTTTGCACAAATCCGGTGGAAAGATGAGGAGATCAAAAAATTTAATGGGATGGGGGAAGAGAATGAGATGTATCAAAGTAGAGAGAGAAAGAAAATAGTATAACTGATTAGCGTATTTAGTGGCTTAGGGCTAGAAGGTAACCAAAAATATTTTGCTATAAACATCAAAAGATATTTATAGAATATAATTTTTTTAAATGGTATTTATTTAAAATAAATAAGGTGTTAACCTTTACTATATGAGGTAAAAATTCCTAGTAATAAATATTATTGTCAAAATAATACTTCTAAAATATATGTTTTAAAAAATAGTTCGTGTTTAGTTTATTCATTTGAGATATGATTATTTTAATATTTGGTAAATTGATAGAATTTTGACCAACTTTCTAAAAAGTAATTTTAAGTGTCAATTACAAAAAATAGTATTAGATTTAATTTATATTAGTATTATTTAAATAGAAAAGTAATTTTAAATATTTGTTATAAAATACTTTAATTATATTTTTATTCGTATTTATTTAAAAATTAAATTTTATACGCACGCACGCACACACACATATATTAAGGACTAAAAAGGAAAAAGAAGAGGAATTTTTTTATATCTGAGATATGAGCGATATATGAGTTAAATTTGTCACGACCTCAAATCCCACCAAAGTCGTGACGACATCTAACATTGCTTGTTATGCAAGCCAACATTCAATATACAGAAATAAACTTAAATAATAGTAAAAAATAGTCTCAAAAGCCGAATAGGATAAACAACTGTAGCAAACAACGATACAACTAAAATATCATCCTAGAACTTGGTGTCAACGAGTACATGAGCTCTATAGAATAAATAAGTACAATGGTCTGAATAACGATACAATATTGTCTGGCGTACATAAACAGTAGTAACAAAAGTAAGAAAAGGGACTCCAAGGCTTGTGGATGGAAACATCAGTGCTACCTCGAAATCACCAACGGGCACGGTACAACTCTCTAGCAATTAGCTCTATCAGCAGCACTTGGATCTGCACATAAAGTGCAGAGTGTAATATGAGTACAACCGACCTCATGTACTTTGTAGGTAGCAAGCTTAACCTCGGATTGAAGATAGTGACGAGATTGATAAAGTCTGCTATGCACTTTCAATCAGTCAACAATAACAGTAACATCATAATGACAATAGCAAAGGAAAAAGCAGCTCAAGAATAACAAGTTCAACTTGATCACATGAGAAGAAATATAGGCATGCTTTTCAAAACAAATCAATTAAGGCATCAATTTCAAAATATAAAGCATTCACTAGGATGAGGAAGATATGTCTCTATGCCTGCATGATAAGTATCATGCCAAAATCTACAAATTCACAGTTAAATCTTCAAGTACTATCTCAATTTTGTAAAAATGCCTGGCATAAAGCCCCTAACTAAGCACATATCAAGTACTTGCACTCACAAGACTCAAAGTAAAATGGGTTATCACCTCACTTCAGATGAGCGGATCCTAGCCCAAGCGCTGATCGGATCCATAGTCAACGATCATCATAACTCAACCCAAATGGCATAGCGCACACGTCACCTCAATATCAATACCACTTAGTCTAATAGGGGGCATGACGTACGCATCACCTCAATATCAATATTAACACGGATCTATGGCGCCAATCCAGTTATTAATCCGCTTAAATCTTACTCCCTCCATTCTAATTTATATGAACCTGTTTGTCTGAGCATGGAGTTTAAGAAAAAAATGAAGACTTTTAGAATTCGTGATCCTAAACAAGTCAGAACATTTGTATGGATATAATTCTTTTGAAACTTGTGGTGGTAAACATGCCAGAGTATTTGCGTGGTTATAAAAGCTTCTCATTAAGGGTAGAATTAGAAGTTTAAGCTAATTGTTTCCAAATTTAGAAAGGGGTCATTATTTTTGGAATAGACCAAAAAGGAAATAGGTTCACATAAACTAAAACGGATCGAGTAATATATTTACATATCACAGCATTAGAAATTAATATACCGCACAAATTATACCAAAGTGCCACAGATCCACTCATACCCATATCACACAAGTAAAAACATCAATAATATGTGAGACAATATGTAAAAAGTATACGGAGATAGTGATATGCCACGCAGATATAATATCATGACTGAAAAATATAACTACAATAAAGGAAAACAACTCAATATTGCATAAATAGCCCTATCAAGTCTCAAAGGAATAAGCACATAGCCTAGACATAATTTCTAGCATGAATAATAGCTCAAGTAGTCATACAAGTAGAGAAAATACGGCAACACGAAGGAATGTTAGCAAAATCAGGCACATAATAGCCTAAAGTCTCCCCGAAGCATGAATATCCATGGTGTACGCATAGGTGTACGCATATATGCTCGTCACCATGTACGTGGGTCACACTCAACACATAGCAAGGATCGTACTACGGGAAAGATAATCTCAAGTCAAGCCTAGGGAAGATACTTACCTCCAAGCATGAGAATAAATACTCCAATAGGCCCTTCCCTCTAGAATCGTCCTCCAAACAGGTCAAATCTTGCCAAAAACAACTAAATACCGTTAAATAGGGCTATAGGAATCAATTCCAAGTAATAAAGCTTTTCAACAAATTGCAAAACATCAACCAAAAAACCAACCCGAGCCTACACCCGAACCCGAAAAAGTCAAAAATCTCGACTACCTACTCGAATACGAATTCAAATATACAAGTTTCATCCAAATCCGATTCCGAATCGGGGTTCAAATATCAAATATTCATTCTCCAAAACTTCTTGCAAAAATTCCAATCTTCTCCTTACATTTCATCAGCCAAATCTAAAATCAATGATATAATCATGGTAATAATCAAATCCAAATCAAGAACACTTACCCAATCCAAGTGAAAAAACTCAAATATCGCCCAAATTCGAGCTCCCAATCTTAAAATATGATAAATGAAGTCAAACCATTGATCAAAGTATATTATGCCCAGTGGTCTCGCATCTGCGGTCCATTTTCCATTTCTGCGAAGTCGCATCTACGACTCAAGTCTCTTTTCTACGAGCTTCACTTAAGTTCCGACACCCCATACAAGTGGAGCTCAATCCAGCTTTTATGATCCCGCATACACGGCAAATATCCGCTTTTGTGGAACTTCCCAAGTTGGTCTGCATTCGCTTCTACGAACAAGACCTTCGTATCTGCAGACTTGCAGATGCACCGATGCTCCACATATGCAGACTCTGTAGCCCTTTTCTATCCTTCGCATTTGCAACCCCAGTCCACAACTGCGGACTCGCACATGTGCACCATTCCTCGCAGGTGAGAAAATCATAACTGCCAACCCAAACTCAAATGATCCAAACCCATCCAGAACACACCCGAGCCCCCCGGAACCCCATCCAATAATACCAACAAGTCCTAATACATCACCCAAACTTATCCAAAGGCTAAAAATATCGTAATTAACATCAAAATCACGAATCGTCGATCAAGATCAATCTTTTAAGTTAATAAACTTCCAACAACCATCCGATTTAAGCCTAAACAATTCGGAATGAACCCAAATTTTGCACACAAGTCCCAAATGACATAATGAACCTATAACAATTTCCGAAAA